ATGTGTGTGTGTGTGTGTGTGTGTGTGTGTGTGTGTGTATATATATATATATAGGATATAGTAGTAGATACAATGGCCTGGGATGGCTGGAACTGTCACATTCCCTTTCAAACAACTATACCCAGACGCTCAGAGCTAAGTCGAGGACAGCGCATTTTCAGCACTCTAACCAGCCTGCAAAGGTCACTGATGCCTATAGGAAACAAGCATGATCACCATACCATGTGGCAGGTGCCTGTAGTGCTATCTAATCCACGAGGCTACGAAGACGTTACAGCGCTGAACAACTGAACTAAACAATGTCTGTCTGTTTACAACTTAATGGGGTCACCGCCATAGGTCAGTCATGCACTACAGTCACGTGTAGTCAGCCTACCCTCTGATGACACACACAGGCTCACACACATGTGCACACATACGTACATACTACCATACACACGACGTACCTACACGAGAGAGCGTACACGATAGATGTAGATTTGTATGTGATGTGAACACACTCGTGTCACAGGGAACGGTGCGTCTGTGTAGGAGAAAAAGACACACAGCCCACACTGCTTTCAGCAGAATGAACATATCTGGAGAACAGGCGAGAGCCCACACAGTGGATGGGTGACTGCAGGCACGGTAGGTAGGCAAACATGTTGTAGGTAGACCTAGGCAAGTGTCCCGTCCACCACAACGAGTCATACACCCACCCCCTCACAGCCACCACGAGCACACCTCTACACAGCCAACCAAACGCACACACCTGAAGAATAGCAGAGCGCCCACAAAGTTGATGGTTGACTGCAGGTACGGTAGGTAGGCAAACATGTTGTAGGTAGACTTAGGCAAGTTCCCCATCCACGACAACGAGACATACATCCACCCCCCAACCAACAGCCACAGGCACGCCAGAGACATACACGCACGATTCACCCCTGGACAGAGCGAGTGACTGTTGGCATTGCGTAGGCGAGACATAGAGCTTGGGCTGGGCTCTACCTCCTTATAGAACACCGTGAATGGGATCAACATGAACAGCACCAGGTTGCTCAGGTGCGACACTCCGGACCAGTAGCCTGTGCATGGGCAGTGGTAGGTATGAGCGTAAGGCAGACATTGGTATGTTCGTACTGATGTGTATCCTTGGAGTAGTGTATTGTACTTTAGCAGTGTAACCTGGGCTTAGTATTGGGTCTTCGAAGCTCCCCTACCCCTAATACGGAATTTTCATACTGATGTGGGGGCATATGCAGGTGCGTGAGTATGTATAGCTTTCATACTGATGTGGGTGTATATCCAGGTGTGTGAGTGTGTATGTGTGTTTGTAATAGCACCATGCTAGGTACATCCACCTCACCACGCTCCCAGTCACCCATGATATCATCGGCACTTTTCTGGGTTCACTTGCAAGTAAGCACATCCAGGGTCGCAGTGGGGTCTCGATACACAGCATATATACAGACTCGTAATCCCATGAAATATATACACCAAACTACTAAACCACTGGCTACCCTTCAGATGCAGACCGCCTTCTAACGGTCGAAGTATAGTCTGTTGTGCCTTCAGTGGGTTCATGGACAAGAAAGTAAAGGAAGTGAGTACACAAACTCCTACACACTGACACACCCACACGGATAGACACACTGATATCACACCAAAATCACAATCTTCTCACTAATGAGAACCAGATTTTACTTCAGACAACCCAGGTACAGCCAGAGGTTCTGTCGAATCGTCCGCACAATGAGATAGGATGCAACAATGACAAGAATTATATGTTAATACTAACGAAACCTCAGGCCCAAACACACACACAACTACACAAACATGTGTATGTATATATATATATATATATATGTATATAAGTACATTACAGACTAAACAACACCTCGTCGGCATATCCATCACCTACCAAGTATGAGATCTCTATCCAACCAGTCCCAGTACCACCGATAGTCCTTTGGAAACTTCCTCAGCACGGCGAGTATCTCGTTGCTTGCTATGGTAATCGGATACACAAGCGTGGACGCTATAGCGATGGCAAGCGTGAACGCACACACCCACTTGGTGATCCTGTCCGTGTCTACGTCAGAGTATTCCACCTGGTCATGTCGGGTGTGAATGTGCGAGTGTCAGTGTCGGTAGTGAGGTTAGATAACACTCCGCCCTATCTGTCCATGTACACCACACCCACAGGTCTCGTAATACTGAATGCGACAAGCTAATCCTAAAGTGACTAGGTCGAATATACTGCTTGTGTGTTGGCGTTGTCCGCAGCTAGTGTGAATCTCTCAATCGGTTATAGATTTCCTTATATGGATGTCAATATAGTAAACAAAGTAGCTTGAGTGTAGGTTCAGTTGCATTCGTAATTCAACACACGGGAGGGTCCATGAGAGATCAGTACATGTCTGTTAACACCAGCCTACCACCTGCTCAGTGATACAATCGTGTATAGCAATACTTGCAAGCTGCAGGACATTCCTTGTCCTATTTCGATAGAACCACAGCACAGTATATATA